CGCGAGCTTAAGAAGCCGAATGTCGTAACTCGTGGGCTGGCTGAGGCACACATTGATTGGCGCTTGCGCTTGAAAACATGGCAGACTAGATTAGTAAATCTGCCCTTGCCTTAGCCAGGATGCGAGCTTGAGAAGCCAAATGGTGTAACTCGTGGACTGGCTGAGGCACACATTGATCGGCGCTTGCGCATGAAAACATGGCCGATCAGATTAGTGAATCTGCCCTCGCCTTAGCTCGGGCGCGAGCTTTTGGAGTTGGGAAGCCGATTAGCTGAACTCGTAGGCTGGCTGAGGCACACATTGATTGGCGCTTGCGCTTGAAAACATGGCGGACCAGATTAGTAAATCTGCTCTTGCTTTAGCTAGGGCGCGAGCTTGGGAAGCCGAATGGCGAAACTCGTGGGCTGGACAATTGTCATCTAACTTTTGACGTTTGGGATTACTGACGTTGCCTTGGGAGAGCTACATACAATGAAAGATAAGTGGCGCGGGTGCACGCCAGAGGCCCTACTTAATTCCATTTAAGCAACTTGGGAGGGACGAAGATTGGCTGAATTAGACGCCGCAATGAGTCGCAGTAACGAGCCTATGCGTACGGGAAGAAGAACGTCCAAGGATCGGGAAACACAGTAGCCCCTTAGTCGTCGAAGCGTATCGCCCCAAAAGGACAAGCAACAACGGGGAAATTCTCCGTGCCCGTGACCGAGAATCGAGCTTGATGCGACGCCACGACCGTTGAGTTTTGCAGTTTTTGTGAGGAATAGACCAATAACGGAGGCAGATTCTATCATTAAAGACCCAGGTGTAGCAGTCGAGTTTGCTCGATAGATCTTCCCGCCGGAAGTCCAACAATCGATGGTCGGACGTCAAGATTTTGAAGTATTTCGAGATGGCATACATGGGGTCGTGAAAGGACAATATACTGCTCACGAAGTCGGCATGCGTTTGCGGGAAGCACGACGTGAGAGTGAGAAAAGGGACGAAAGGAATCGCAGTTTGGAGATTCGTGCGGAAAAGGCTGAGCGTGAGCTTTGAGAGCTAAAGAATGTTCAAACGAGAGCGTTAGTGGTGGTCGGTCAATCTAAATTGGTCGTTGAGAGAGTGACCCAACGGACCTCAGGTTATGAAAAAGGGTTTCAAGATGGCCTGAAGGTCGGGATAGAGAAGACCAAATGAGACCTTGCCGAGGATGTCTGTCGATGTGAAAATCGTAGATTCAAGCACGGCTGGATCAAGGCCCTTCAAACCGAGGAAGCTCTCGAAGCCGTGTGCATTGATTTTGCCTCGCTCCTGTATCATCGCCACTACTTTCCTTATTCCTAGGCAACCTAAAACGACTGGACTTTGAGTGCTTACAAATGCTACAGGTTGTGTGTCTAAGATTATAAAATCAACAGGAAAATAAAATTTGTCAATTTAGACCAACACATCCTCTACTATACCCCTCAGTTTTCTCATAGAATGGTCAGCTAGCTGAAGTGTTATTGAAGTTGGTTTAAGCTCACTTAGACCTAATTGTTCACGTATTATTTCAACTTTCTGCCAGGGTTTGTGTTGCGTGGCGTAAATATTTAACCATATATTGACCGACTTGAATTAAGAACGATTCTGTGAATATGTATTCGGCCCTAAGGTGTCATGCACCGAAAGGGTTTCTGAATCCGGAGACTTAATTGGCCCTAAGGTATCATGCACCGAAAGGGGCTCCGGATCCGGAGACTTTAATTTGGCCAATCGTCATATCCACGAAGGGCGCTCCGAATCTGGAGACTTAGTCGGCCCTAAGGTGTCATGCACCGAAAGGGGCTCCGAATCCGGAAACTTGAATTTAGCCAATCGTGATATCCACGAAGGGCGCTCCAAATTTGGAGACTTTAATCGGCCCTAAGGTGCCATGCACCAGAAGGGGCTCTGAATACGGAGACTTTAATTTGGCCAATCGCGATATCCACAAAGGGCGCTCCTAATCCGGAGACATTAATCGGCCCTAAGGTGTCATGCACCGAAAGGGGCTCTGAATCCGGAGACTTAATCGGCCCTAAGATGTCATGCACCGAAAGGGCTCCGAATCCGGAGACTTGAATTTGGCCAATCGTGATATCCACGAAGGGTGCTCCGAGTCCGGAGACTTTAATCAGCCCTAAGGTGTCATGCACCAGAAGGGGCTCTGAATACGGAGACTTTAATTTGGCCAATCGTGATATCCACGAAGGGCGCTCCGAATCTGGAGACTTTAATCAGCCCTAAGGTGTCATGCACCGAAAGGGGCTCCGAATACGGAAACTTAATCGGCCCTAAGGTGTCATGCACAGAAAGGGGCTCCGAATCTGGAGATTTGAATTTGGCCAATCGTGATATCCACGAAGGGCTGTAGACGTCCCCCGAACGCCCCGGGAGGGTTAGCTCCCATTCTGTTCATTTGGGGTTACTACAGCTCGGACTCTTAAATGTCACGGTTCCTAATCTGAACCAAAGAGTCCAAATCCGGCAAATCGTTTTGAGAAACTAATTTTTGAAAAAAGTGCCAAACATGGACTGTTTTTCCAGATACAGAGTCGCCACCTAAATATTTTATTTTGGGAAATTTAGGAAACCCTGACTAGGTGCCAAAAGGCCACGTGTCCGTCATCACCAAAGTTGCCTCGGCTCGGGAACTTGGGTACGATTAGGGAAGGTCACTTCGTGAGCACCCCCGCTCGCCCGGTCATAGACCGGCCTCTACTAACCATGATATCTATTTTTGAAAACATTGTGAGTTCTTATTCCGGTTATTAGCCTAGGTTACTATGTGATGCAAAGAAATCCCTACCTCAAATGGAGAAGATGAAGGCCAAAAACCAAAGTGCTCCAAATCGCCAAACTTTCAGATTAAATTGAAGATCAAGGGAAGCTCCACACTCAATACAAAGGAACTAGGGTAGAAGATCACTAGAACTAGATGTATTTATAGAGAGAAGATGTAGTCTAGAGAGAGAAACTCTCAAGTTATTCATTCAATGAACTTCATTAAATTGATTAATGTATCTCATACATTCATGATACATAATGCATTTTCTATATTAATGAATTCATTAGATTACATATTCATAATAGATACATAATGCATCTCTAAGATCCATTCATAATAAATCCATCACATTCAATGTATTAGCATTAGTCTTCTATACATTGCATAAATAGATATCAATGATTAGTCACCATCTAATTGATGTACATGTATCCTACTAATGAGATGAATCTAGTATAATCATGCAAAATCTTTGAAAAGTTGTCATATATTACAATTAAACAATGAAGGTAAAAATCGGGATCGCTATACAACCTAAAATGACTGGACTTTGAGTGCTTACAAATGCTACAGGTTGTGTGTCTAAGATTATAAAATCAACAGGAAAATAAAATTTGTCAATTTAGACCAACACATCCTCTACTATACCCCTCAGTTTTCTCATAGAATGGTCAGCTAGCTGAAGTGTTATTGAAGTTGGTTTAAGCTCACTTAGACCTAATTGTTCATAAACCAAGCAAGGAAAAAGATTCACATTAGCCCCAAGGTTGAGCAGTGCAAGCTTTATCCTATGATTCCCAATCACACATGAAATTGTGGGACATCCCGAATCCTTATAGTTTAATGGAGAATTTTGCTGAATAATATCACTCACTTGTTCTGTCAAAAAGGCTTTCTTCTGTACATTAAGCTTTCGCTTGACTATAATTTTGCATATCACGAGATTTGTTTATATTGCATCTAACAAACACTACAGGAAATCGCACTTTTGCCGGCTAAAAATTTAGTTGGCAAAAGTCCATTTTTAGTCGGCAAAAGTTATTCGCGACCAATTTTTTTGGTCGCCACTTTGGTCGCCAATTGAGGGTCGGCAAAAGTAATTAGCAACCAAAACTGTTGTTAGTCGGGAAAAAGTTAGATTTGCCGAATAAATTTTTAGTCGCTAAAATACTTTAGTCGGGAAAGTGACATATTCCCGACCAAACATGTTAGTCGTCGATTGTCACATTTCTCGACCAAACATGTTAGTCGCCAATTGTCACATTCCACGACTAAACATGTTAGTCGCCAAAAGTCACAATCCACGACCAATAAATTAGTCGCCAAAAGTCACATTCCACGACCAAACATGTTAGTTGCCAAAAGTAATGTTTACATGACTAAAAGTTTAGTCGGCAATCGACCTATTCACGACCAAACTCTTTGGTTGTCAAAAGTTTACTGACTAATTATTTAGTCGCCAAATGTACCATTTTGCCTATCAACATTGTGGTCGGCAAAACCACAATTTGGTCGCCAACATCCAACAAAATAAACCTGTAATTGAAAGCAAATATTCCATCCAATCCATTCAATATAATCTATAATTAAAAAGAATTATTCATACCAACATAGTATCTGAATCATGAACATTCAACGAAATACATAAATCATCCAATCCTGAACCTGTTTAATAAAAGTCAGCAACTATTATAAATTTCCATCTACAAGTAATTCCAAAGTACATATTCCTCCAATTTAAATTTTTATCCTTGCGCATCTATCAAAAAATATAACTAGTCTACCCAAATATTTTTCATATACACCCATCCAAAACTATAACTACTAGTCTATCGAAATATTTTCCATACACATCTATCCAAAAATATATTACACTTCCAAAAATGCTTATAGCGCCAATTAGTCCTGTACAATTTAGCTTCGTGCACGAGTTCATCCATTTGTACCAAAGAAAAAGAAAAAGAATGTCAAGAATTCAATAAGGTATATAATTTAAGTAAAACTTGTAAAGCTGAACTTACCAAGGCTTAACTAGATTATCTTGGTATTCAACCACCCAACCAGTCAACTAATTGAAATAGATAAGAACAACCAATGTAATGAAATTACAACTAGAAAAGACAATAAAGCTAAAAAAAAGCTCTTCCCAAGCACCCCCATATAACCCACACATCAGACAGTTTAGGAAATAAATTATAGATGATAAACTTACTTCAAAAATTTATCTAATTTTCCATGGAAAAATTATTGAGAACCGCCCAAAGCATATCAATGACATAGTGCTCCTGTCAAAAGAAATGATAAGTAGCCGTCAACTACAAAAATACGAAAGCTCAAAGTAGTGATACTAAAAACTTCATCATAAAAACAGATAAATAAAAAACTTAATCCTGATCATAATTTGAATTCCTTCGACTTTTTTAAAAACCCATAGAGCAATATACCACGCGTTAGCCAGAAATGAGTTGTTAAGGTAGCAAGATTAAGAGGTCTTAATCCAAACCCTGCACTATAAATTACATGCTACTCATTTCCAATTTAGTAATAGACCCAGTAGAGGAAATAGTTTTCTTTCCAATAAAAGACAGAACATAATGAACAAGAAAAAAGATCATCTAGTTAAGCCCAAATCTGCATACTAGGAAACAATAGAAATGCGACAAAAGAAACAGCACTGAAAATGGACTTCCCAAAATAAAGTTATTCCCAAACTAGGAAACAATAGAAATGCAACAAAACAAACAACACTAAAAATGGACATCCCAAAATAAAGTTATTCCCAAACTAGGAAACAATAGAAATGCGCCAAAACAAATTGCGCTAAAAATGGACTTCCCAAAATAAAATTATTCCCAAAATACGAGCTCATACCAAATGAAGTTGAATGATCACAATAATTTTACTGGAGATAGTTCAATAAGTTAGGAAGATATTTCAAGAAGAACTCTAGAGCTAAAAATCACTTTATGATGGAGAACTCATTTTTGGAAGAAAACTGGTATATTCAAACAGTGAGTTCAGCAGACTTCAGCACAGGTAGTCTGAGTTAAAAAATGAACAGAGGCATCAAAAGATGTCCAAACTAACTGAGACCAGAACCATAGGAAAGTATTTGAGTTAGGGAAATTTTATCAGCAGGATGAAAAGTCTAAAAATCACATCAAGGGGGTGAAAATACAAGTTCAAGGAGTACTGGTCTGTTCTTGTCGCGTTTTAGAAAAATGATCATAACTCTCTCAATAATTAATATTTTTCAGTGATTCTTGTGTACATAGAAAGGTATCTCATATATTTTTTAGTTTTTTAGTTTCCTAAATTTATTCAGCTCCTTAACCTGATTTTGTGATGCAACACTTTCAGCTCAACAAATATAAAAATGCTACATATTAAGTGTAATATCCTTTATGAACTGGTATGATGGTATTTAGTTCCTACTGGACTGTTGTATTATTGATAACATTTCAGATCTCTAATTTGGAATTTTTTAATCTAAATGATTCTCAGAATCAATGAATAAAATAAAAGAAAAGGTTGTGTCAAAGTTAGAGAGCATAGCACCATCATGATTAAAAAATTCACGGCATTATTTTTATAATCTATAGCAAAGGTTAAACTGAAGTTCAAATTAGTATCAGAAACATGGATTAAGTGAATCCACTTCTTTTCGGTAACAATTCATCATTTATCAGGTTTGGGATCACCCAGAAGATCTTGTTTTTGAAAGCTTGGAGCTTGGATTTTCTATGTTCTGAAAATAAGGCAGTTCCAAAACTATGCATTACAGTATGACGAGATTTTGTTCATTACAAAGGAGAAAATTAGGGCATTGGACACAACTGTACTCCAAAAGAGCATACTTACATCTTGGACAATTGAAGTCTTTCATGCATGGAAGAATTCTCTTTATGTATAGATTCCTAATAAAAGAAAAAATAAAGAAAATTTGTCAGAACTTAAGAAAATTGCCATTTAGATGGGAAGTATGCAGAAGGAAGGAAGAAACTAAAATAGAGTAGTCTTACATGTTCTCCTGACAAGCAGGCTGATCAGGGCCTTGCCATGTAAAGTTATTGTCAGAACTATATAATTAATTAGAAATAAATGGGAAATATATAATTGAATAATTTCAGGGACACTTAATTTAGGAAGATTTGTAACTTAAAAAAATATATATATACATATACATATACATATACATAAGAAACCCAAATCCACTCACAAAACCCCAAAACCCAAAACTAAAACCCCAAAACCCCTCACAATAATAGAAAATAGCAATTGTAACCATACATCAAACCATCCAATTAACAATGTTGAACAAGTGAATTTTTATCATTATTGTTGTTACTGTAAATAAGCTAGCACATTTATTTATTTTAAAGCATTGAGCTTGAGGTTATTGATCAATCCCTATAACCCACCAAAAAGGACAAGGTCTACCAAGAAGCACTTTGCAGTCCCAAAAATATAAATCACAAGCATGGTATAAATAATTTGACAATATTAGCAAAGGAGTGCAAGTTGCAGATAGAATCCTACCTAGGCCTCCTGTCCCAGATGCCTCAACATTTATAAAAGCTCCAATTGTGTCACGCCATTTATGTGATGTCATGAAGCCATGTGAACCCTGAAATATTGAGACCGTTAACAAGTTCAATGATTATTAGCTGGAGAACATAGCACTAGACTCTTATTAGCTTAAAATAGGCAATTGTGCAAAATAATACATTACCATTTACAACATTTGCCATTTGCAGTCTATCATACATTTTAAAACAACAGTGGCTTATCCAAAGAAATAAATAAATAAACAACAGTGATAAACGTACCATGATCTGCCAAAATGAGTAGTCACAGCACACAAGTCATGATGGGCCTATTGACTTTCTGCACATGCTTCCATTCAAGTAAAAAAGAAGTTACTCAACATTAAAATATATATGATCAAAAAGACAGTAAAATATATTAGCAATCAAAACCAACAAAGAATATGCAATGTGAGCAGAACTATCCTATTTTTTGCTTCGTCCACTCCGCCTAAAGTGTACAAATAACCCCATTTATAGTGCAGGCAATGTTGGGATTGAAATTAAATGCAAGGAAATGAAGAGGAATAAAATAACTACGCATTTATGTAAATAAAGATATACATTGAAATGGATTAACTTTGCAAAATATCAAGCCAGAATCCTGTGACACTGACAATATGCAAACCATAATCTTCATCCCTTTAACTCTCTCTATGTTTTGAGGGAAAATATTGACAAACAAAAAAGATGATTAATAATGGAAAGAAAAATAGAGGAAAACTAAAAGTTGTGTTACAAATGGCAAATCTCCAAAGGTGACCAGATTGCAGTAGTACAAATTCTGTTTCTAGAAACCACTTTGCCTTGCTTTAATAACTTTTAGATCCATAGGAGAAAAAACAAAGTACTGTTTAAAACATAACCAAATGCAACATAAATTTTGGGCATCATACTTACACAAACTTCAAATTCTTTCCAGTAATGTCATTTGGAATTTCTCCCACTAACTTGTTAAAACTAACATCCCTGTCCAAATCACAATACAAAGATATATATATATATATAGAGAGAGAGAGAGAGAGAAAAGGATAGACCGTCGAGGCAGACAACATCGAAGGGTTGAACATGGTGGTAATCGAAGAGAGCTTCAAGTTGTTCTTCGGTTGATTCGGCCTGTAAAATAGAGAAATCGGAAATCAAGTTCAGAAACCCTAGAAAAAAAAAACAAAACAAAAACAAAAACAGTACTTGGAAGATTAGGGGGTTAAAACTTGAAGTTTTGCACCATTAGGGTAGAAGAAATTGAGGCCGAAGTAGCAGTAATTGTCGAGGAAGAAGCAAAGGTGGGAGTTGGGATCGTGTGGGGTTTGAAGGAAGCAGTTCTGATTGTAGAGTTGTTGGGAGGGTTTGAGAGTGTTTGGGTAGCATAGTGATTGGAGTACAAGGGGGTCGAGGTCGAGGTGAGATTGGGTGAGGTTTGATGGTCACAGACTCTGTGTATTAGAGAGAGAACAAAAGGAGGTGTAAACAAAACACGGCGCCGATATTAAATAGGAGCGCTAAATTTAAAATGTCAAATATTTTAGTTCTTTTGGCGACCAAAACAATTTAGTCTTTGAAAATAAATGTTTGGTGACCAAATTTTTGGTCGCCAAAGAAAAAAAATAAAAGTTTTATTTTTTATTTGGCATCTAAAAATTAAATTAAATAATTTTTCATCTGTGCATGAGAGAGAATTGGCAAATGTTAATAATTGGCGACTAAAATATTGTTGTAGCCAAAGCTTAATTAATGGCGACTAAAATATTAGTCGCCAAAAGTATTAATTTGGCGACTAACTTTTTTTTGGACAGAAAAAATAAATATACGACGACTAATTTTTTTTTGGTCGCCGAAAATAAGTTTTTGGCCACCAAAATTTTGGTCGCAAAAGATAAAAAATAATTTTTTATTTTCCATTTGGTGACTAAATAGTTTTAGTAGCCAAAACTTAATATACAACGACTAAAATATTTTTAGTCGCTGAAAATAAGTATTTGGCAACCAAAATTTTGGTCGCCAAAAGATAAAAAATAATTTTTTATTTTCCATTTGGTGACTAAATAGTTTTAGTAGCCAAAACTCAATATACGGCGACTAAAACATTTTTAGTCATTGAAAATAAGTTTTTGGCTTTTGGTTGCCAAAAGATAAAAAATAATTTTTTATTTTCCATTCGGCGACTAAATTGTTTTAGTAGCCAAAACTCAATATACGGCGACTAAACTATTTTTTTGTTGCTAAAAATAAGTTTTTGTCGACCAATCTTTTGGTCGCCAATTCCACAACCAATTTATTTTGATTTTCCGGGACCAACTTAATTTTTGGTCACCAAAAGGTGACCTTCCGCGACCAAATTTGTAGTTGGTCGCCAAAACCATACCACTTTCTGTGACCAACTTTAATTTAGGTTGCCAAAATATGACCTTCTGCGACCAACTCATATTTGGTCACCAGAAACAATGATCATTCACGACTAACTCATATTTGGTAGCCCAAATGTAACTTTTAGTGACCAATTTTTATATTGGTCACGAAAAGTGGTCGCTAAAAGTGCAGATTTTTGTAGTGAAAGGTATGTTGACTTTGACTTGTTTGAAGATTTCAAAAATTTCTGAATTTTGGTTCAACTTCTGAAATGGTGGTTGCAACCTTAGAGGAAAAGAAGCAAAAATAGGACATCTCACCTCTTCATTTGACTCAGACTTGTTAGGTTTATCACTACTTTCAGGTTCTAAAGCATCCTTAGGCTTTTGAGCCTTCATTGGAATGGGTTTGTCAATAATTTTTCCGCTACGAAGAGTAGCAACTAATTTAAGATGTTGAAACTAAGTACTAAAAAGGGAATTATCACTAACACCATTTTGACCTTGTGGGTTAGGTAGAGGTGGAGTATGAAATCTACCGTTTTCTTGAATTCTCAATGAAAAGGTTAATTTAATGAGAGTGGTCTTCATATCATTAATGGCTTGAGATCTTTGAACATTTATAGTCGTTTGTCCTTCACTATAGAAAAATACATCTTCGATGACTAAAAATGCCAACTAAAAAGAATTTGAGCAACAAATGTACAATCTTTAGATACTAAAAACAATCTTTTCTTTCCTTTTTCATGAGAAAATTATTAGGTTTTTGTAATTGACAATCCAGTTTGACAAAATTCCTTTCAATTGTAATTTTATTTGCTCTTATGTTTTAGTGAGGATGTGAGTGTTTAAAAGCGAATCCAACCTAAATTGTGTCTCGTAATTGGCAATCTTGTTTGACAAAACTCCTTTCAGTTGTAATTTTATTCGCTCTTATGTTTCAGTGAGGATGTAAGTGTTTAGATGCGAATCCAACCCAAATTGTGCCTGTACAAAGGAGTTTGTGATGTTGAGGATTTCATTGTTGGCCGGTTCGCTGACTCTGTATGGGGATCAAGCTGCCTGGTCAGCTTGCAGGGGTCCATGGGGCAACACCCCATGGCAGGTCCAGTGCAGTGCCCTTGAAGCCCAAGTTGTTTGACTGCTCAAGCTGTCATTTGTGCACTCGAGCTGTGAATGGCATCATCTAGTATTTTGGCAGAGCAGACTAAACTTCTGAGAGAATTTGTTTTGTGCTCGAGCGGTGGAGTCGTGGCTCGACCAATAGGCATGTGTTTTAGTGAGTTCGCTCGAGTGATGAATTGGTCGCTTGATCAGTCTTCGCGATTTAGTTTACTATAAAGTACGAAGTTTGCTATTTTTAGGGTTTAAGCCATCCAAATTCTGGGAGAGCAAGGCTACATCCTACCAAGGTTTTCTATATTGGAAGGTATTTTTATGAGTGTTTCCTTGATGATTTGAGAGTGATCAATAGATCTGTGAACTTCATATTAATATCATCAAGGGGGTTTGTTTGTTTTCTTTTATTCACAAAAGAGAGAAGCATTCTTCGATGGATTCTGAGGAACTTGGGCCTGAAGCTTTGGTGGATTCCAGAGTGGCTCATCGTCGTGAATTTGACATCAGCGTTGTTGATTTAACGTTGGGCAAGACAATTCGAGGTGAAGACGGTGGTATAAGAGACACATTGGGGTCGGTTCAATTTGGGTGTGGATTCACTAGGTAATTGATTGTACACATGTGTAATTCCTTTTTATCTTCTTACTGGATTGTTTTGTGGCTTTGGCCTATGGTTTTTATTTTTTAATCACGATTGGAGGCACTTTAATTATGATGTTTTTCACGTTAAATCATTGTACCAATTTGTCTTGATTGTTTGATTGTTATTGTTATTTATTTCTTTAAATTGAAACTTAATCACGAATTAATATCTTAGGGATTTAGATTTTTCAGAAATCATTTCAATGAGAGATGTTTTGAAAAGCTTGCATAACAACATCAGTGGCGATCATTGCATTTCTAAGAAACCTTTAGGTTTCATATATATATGTTTGAGCTTAATTTGCTTGTTTTGCATTTTTTATTTATTTCTATTAAAATAATTTTAGTAAGCTTGGAGGGCATTGGTTGTCCTTTTCTTTTAGGAGTTTATATTATCCGTAGTAATCTTGTTAAAATGGTGTTGATTAAACTTGAATTAGCAAATAAGAATTACTTTAATTTATTACTTATAATTATTGGCATTCAATGCAGTATGGTTTTGAAGGAGAAAAAGATTTAGTTAAATTTAGAATAAACTACCAATAGGTCCTAATAGTTTGACTTAATTCTCATCAAGTCTTATTGCAAATAACTCCTAGTAAAATTTTCACTAAAAATAATTTTTTGTGACGATTTTTTGTACGTCGCTAAAAATTGACAATTAGTGATTTTTTTTTTCTCACGATTTTTATAAATTGTCACTTAAACTTACTATTAGTGATTTTTTCTGTGATGAATTTTTCAAACTGTTGTTGAAAGTTGAAAATTAGCAACTTTTTTTTGTGACGATTTTTTAAGCTGTCACTAAAACTTATAATTAGTGATATTTTTTGTGACAAAATTTTCTAACTATTGTTGAAAATTAACAATTAGAGATGTTTTTTTAATAGTGTTTGATGAAAAATGCCATTAATTATCATAGGACTATTGAATAATAAATCCACATATTAGGATCAATACGTAAGTCCCCCTTAAATTTATTAAATTGCTTCTTGAAGCGGGTTTATATGCTTATCTAAGGATTGGTTCTTATGCTTGTGCTGAATGGAACTATGGGTAAAGCTTATAAAATTTTTGTTCCAATCTATTGCATAGTATACAAACCAACAATATATTAGTGAACTTTACCTTGTAGACTTTGTTTTTGAATAGTGGGTTTCCTCTTTGGTTGCTTTTCATACCTGGAATTCAGTTTCGAACTGATAATGAGTCATTCAACGTATTCCCTCCCACTTTGTCCTACTGTTAAATTTTAAATTAATGGCCTAAATATGCTCATTGGACTTCTTTTTGTTTTAGACAGAAATGAAGTGATTAAACAACCAAGATTGTGGACATGATGAAGAAAGAAAAACTCTATGCATCCCAAGGCGAACCCATTATCTTATCCCATGTTAGTTCCTTAGTTTTATGTGGATTTTCCATATACATGCACCATTGTGTATAATTAGTGAAGTCCAATCTACCTTTCTAGGTGGAAGACACATCTTTGACGGAATCATGATAGCCAATGAGGTGGTGGATTGGTGGAAGAATTACAAAAAGAAGGGGATTAATCTTAAGTTGGATTTTGAAAAAGCATTTGACTCAGTAAATTGGAATTATCTGTGGTCCATGTTAGCAAGCTTTGGTTTCGGTAATCTATGGATGAGTAACTGATGCATTCTTACCAAAAAGAGGGCTAAGGCAAGGAGATCCTCTCCCCTCTTCCTTTTCAACATTGCAACTGAATGCCTAAACTTGCTGCTGAAAAGAGCTAAAAACCTAGGGCTAATCAAGGGTGCTTCAGTGGGCCATTCTAAATTGAAACAATCCCATCTTCAATTTTCTAATGATTCTATTTTACTATGTGAAGCTAAGGGAGAAGAACTAGTGACCATTAAAAGAATCCTTTGACGTTTTGAGATAATATCAGGCTTGAAGATAAATTTTCACAACAGTGTGCCTTGTGGAGTAGGAATTGATGATGGCCTTGCCCTGGATTTGGCAACCATACTCATCTGTCAGTGCCAGAAGTTACATCTGAAATATTTAGGGCTGCCACTTGGGGCTAACACTAGAAGAAGAAAGACTTGGTAACTAGTGGTGGACAAGATCAACTCAAAATCGGCCCCACGGGAAAGAAAATTGCTCTCATTTGCTGGTAGAGTGAACCTAATTAAATCTGTTTTGTCCAACCTCCCATGTTACTATCTCTCTTTATTCAAACTTGCTGAGGGTGTGGCAAAAACCATTGATAGATTGTGAATTGCTTTTTTGTGGGGGAACACTAAGCAAAAAAGAAAGGCGTATCTAGTTAATTGGAAATCTGTCATAGTCAGTAAGAATCAAGGTGGATTAGGTATTGTGAATTTGAGGGAAATGAATAGCAGCC